ACCTGCCGCTTCGCCCCCGGCTGTCTATCAGCCCCGTCGGCCAGGATAGCCAGGGGAGCGCGCCGGGGCGAGCTGCCGGGCGCCTGGGGGAGTTTGTAGCACTTGGGGTAGTTACTGAAACACTCAAAAGTGTCGTTGCAGTTTCTGCAAGCCCCAGGGTGGTCACCGAAGCCCGGGGATGGGAAGGGCTGGAGCGCGGCGTTCGGGCAGCCGCAGCAGAGGAGGGTGCGAATGGCCTGGAGGAGCACCATGTCCTTGGAGAGGAACTTCTGGAAGTTGGGCTTGAAGAGCAGGTACACCAGGGGGTTGTAGAGCGTTGAGGACTTGGCAAAGACGGCCGACAGCACGAAGGCCAGCACCGGCACCTGGCTGGCGTCGCCGAGGACTGTCCACAGGGCAACGATGGCGTAAGGGGTCCAGGCAGCCAGAAACCCCAGGCAGACGGCAATGCTCAGCTGGAAGAGAAGGAGATGGAGACGATGGTGCCGTGAACCTCCTGCGGCACACGCGGGATGCTGAACCCCCCCCCCAAAACTAAGCCATGTGCAACAGGACCCCAAGCAGTCGGTCACATCCCCAGAGAAAGGTGCTCAGCCCTCTGGACCCATCGCACTGGAGCATCGGGTGTCAGACATCAGGGCAGCAACTCAGCACGTCCCAGCGTGGGTGCATAAACCTGCACTCGCTTGAGGCGACTCACACCCATCCCACCTGGGAAACTCGGGACTTGCCTCACCCCGCCGCGGCAGACGGGTACGAAGCACCCAGCGACCCGGCTGGAGCCAGGCCAGCATTGGACTCCGACGGCCTTTCCACAGCACTCAAAACCCCTCCAGCAATGTGTGTGCCAGCCTGCAGACGACCGAGAGGCTCTGGAAACAGGCCATGCTCAGACCCCCCTCCTCTAAGCAGACACGAACGTTTCCTTTGAGGCCAGGCTTGCAAGCTGTTTTCTTTTGGGTTTCTTTTTTTTTAAAGGGTATCCGCTTTTTTTTTTGACATAGCCTTGGTAAATTATAGTATTAGCTTGTAGTCTGGGGAACAATGACTCATGCAAGCTCCTTTTATGATCTTTTCCAATGTAATTTAAAATGAAAACTCCTCCACCTGATGGCTTTAAATGAGGAGAAATGTGTTATTACCCACACTGATACAAACACCTGCAGAATTCATCGGGAGCGGCAGACACCCTGGCAGAAGGGGTCCTGCCGTGTTCGCCTGCCTAGGGGCGGTGGGCTCGGGCAGGGGGCACCCCGAGACCCCGCATCACCCCGAGCCCTCCCCTACCTTCACAACCAGGCTGTGCACGCTGCGGGCTCTGCGCTGGGGGGACGTGTGCTGCCTGACGGCTCTCCGGGACACCCGCACCGTCCAGAGGATCAGCGAGTAGGAGACGAGGATGAGGAGGCAGGGGAGAAGGTAGCAGAAGATGAAGAGGGCGAGGATGTAGAGCGTGGCCTCCCTGCTCGAGGCTTTCCACGTGATGCAGCAGGCTGTCCCATAGGGC